ACTTCCTTGAACAGACACCTTAATTTATACATGAAACTCCATTGAGCCAGGGCTACTTTCTTTCAAAAGAAATCTCTGTGTGTCCAATGCCAAGCATGCATCACTTGCCGGAAAGGAAATAAACGTTACTGCCTGGTCAGTGTGGCAGATTGTGTGGATGGACTGGAGCACAGGGGGGATTGTGTAGGTCAAAAATTTGTTGACATGTCTTGAAGCCATAACATGCTGTCCAGATAGCTCAGACAATTTGTTACTAAAGGTCAAAACCAGGTTTAAATATTGTAGTTGGAGGCAGTCCACACTTTGAATAAGCTCTTGGTGGTCATTGAGCCTAAGGCCGAGCCAGAAAATCAGACCATTTTTGACATTTCTAGGAGGAATACAGTTGTCTCTACCAAATCTGCTCAAAACAAACAGCAATATTTATCAACTTAATACGATAACATTTTATACATAACATCCTCATCATATAAGTTGCATGACAAGCATTCTTATGCTGAGCTTTACTTTGTTTTAACCCGCTTCATACTGCCTTTTTTGGACAGACTAAGAGCCAGCTTTGTACACACGTTTGATGAAAAGACCAAAAGACTGCAGAAGATGGGGACAGACTCTCGCTGACGTATCTGCTAGGCACATTTTCAGTTTTGCCTCTCACTCTGAGAGTGGCTGGGGCAGTGCCGCTGCACAGCACACACACACACACACACACACACACACACACACACACACACACACACACACACACACACACACACACACACACACACACACACACACACACACACACACACACACACACACACACACACACACACACACACAAAACTTTCCCTTTCTCTTTCACAATCTCAGAGATCTAAGCTACAATAAATTGACAGCTCTCTTCACCATCGAGTAATTCGGTTCCATACAGATATGACACTCAACTGTAATGTACTTTATGTGGATGAATGCACTCATACACTCAGAAGACAGATTGGAGTGGAGACAGTGAGGCAACTAAAATGAAGCCTGCATATATATGTAATCTGGGGATCAGTAGTTATAACATCAGTTTGGATGTTTAGGTGGATTAGATTTTTTATTGTGTTAAATTTTGGGAAGTATCCTTTCCACAAAAGATCAGAAATCTATCTAAAAATCAGGGAAATCTAGACTAGAGGCGGGAAATCTGACTATTACCAATTCCACACTGGTAACGCATAACACCAATTAGCACAATGACATTAGTGTGTAAGCAAAATGAACTGAGAAAAAGAAGTGTGAGGGGTGACAGCGAGAAGAGCATTCCTGTACAGTAGAGACTCTACGCAAATCACAGAACGTATGTGTGCATCAAAACACATTTCTACAAAATCAAATACGAATCAAATACCTTCATTAGAATATATTCAAGAGGATGTGAAGATAACATGACGAATTACTGCTCCCCAAGCACGATGACATTTGTGTTTATTACTGAATTAATTTAATCCACAACTGTTGTGTTTATCAGCCGTGATGGTGATAGAGAGGGGGGTAACATGAAAGAAGGGCTGCAATGGGACTTTTGCCTCCACCCCTTTATTTTTGGGGCTTTTTGGTAGAGGGAAGCATGTGATCTACCTCATTTTTTTCCCCATATATTTTTTTCTAAGATTTGTTGGCCATTTTGCCTGTATTTGATAGTGACAGAAGAGATGCTTTTATGGACTTGAACCAACCATGTCAAATCAAAAAGAGCAAAAATTGAGGACTGGGTCTGGCTCTTCTTTTGACTACAGCACTGTGTAGGGCATACATGCAGTCGACAAGGACATCAAATAGGAGACCCCTGAGGGCTTAGCTTTGAGGTAATGAAATCAATAGGAGAAGAGAGTCACTCCAGTGACTTGTCCACTGCCACCGGTTTATCCATCTGAGAAACGGTTTGCTTACACAAGCAGAACACTGAGCATATTCCAATAAAAGAAAACAGCAAAGCCTATTCCAACCCCACATACAGTAGACATCACATCCCAGAGGGGTTCTAGCCATTAAACAAATGCCATTAACCTTGGGTTCAAATTTAAAGCATTTGCCAAGCACAGAGATGGTCCAAGGTTAATTCTCTACAAACATTATTCAGCTTTCTCCTGTGTCAAACCTGCAACTTGTCAGTGCCTTGCAGAGCAATAACAAGGCTGTGAAGCAGATATGTTACTGTCACTCCAAAACAAGAAGCCAGTCTCATAAAACTGTGTTGTGAGTGTGAGCGCGGTGTTCAGCACCTTGAAGGCGCAGTCAGTCAGTCAGTCAGGAAGTAGGGGTATTTTATGTCACGTTGTAGAGAAGCGAGATGAGGCGAGGGGGATGAACAAAGAATAATAAAACTTTCTGTTATTCACAAGCGTCATAAAAGGGCTCGACTGAGAGAGCTGTGAGAGAGTGATAAACAAGGGAGGGAGGTCTAATGGATTTAAGTGTGAACTGAACCTGAGACTCAGCTGTAATTCAGTCACTTCTCCCTTTGCATTCTCAAAACATTTTCTTCCACAGCTGGAGCAGCTGTCCTGCCAGATACAACTGAATTATGTACAGTGACAGAGCTGTCAAGTATTCCTTCAACCATGTATATTGTTTAGTTTTGGTATCTGGTCAAAAACAAACACTGATGCTATGGCATTAAAAGAGAGAGAAACAATCAGATTTCCTTTTTAAGCTACTTAACTATCAATTTTTCTTCTGCTTCTTTTCTACTAACATTTTATGAGGAACATATTAAACAAATTGGATATATATCCTTTTTCATTTTAACTATGTAGAATGATATATTGGGGGGAAACATTTAAAAACAATATATATTCTGTGTATATACCAGTGTATATACTCGTATATACAGTATGCATATGTACACTAACTAAGGCAGTAGTTCAAAGTCCTTTTCCTTAAGGAACCCCTTTTCTATCACAAGTAAACTGATGGCCCCTGACTATATGACATGTTTCATGGATATTTCATATTATATTCAATCAACAGTACAGAACAACTGATAAACTGTACAATTAACCTAAATAAAGAATGCAATAACTGCAGGAAGTTTGTGTAAAATGTTGATGAATTTTGAGCAGACTTTTTATATATATATATATATATATATATATTTTAACTAACATTCTTAATAGACTTTCACTCTATTTATTCAGTGTTTTTCTGCCTGAAGCTTGCCCACTCTTTTAGTTCTTTGGTTGTGTAAACAGCATACTTTTTTAATGCAGAGAGTGACTATAGCTTGTGTAATAAGCAGTTCGGTCTAGACCTGCTCTATTTGAAAAGTGTCCTGAGATAACTTCTGTTATGAATTGGCGCTTTACAAATAAAATTGAATTGAATTGTTCACCATTCCCCATTCCCATGAGTATATATCTTCAATAAAAAACTAAACTAAACGTTAAAAATAACAATTTAATTTGGTTATCGTCACAGAAATGAATGATCTTTGTCTCATTTCGCTGGAAAGCTGACTTCATATTCAGGGTTCAATCATTTTAGGTCACCAATACGACCAATATCCTGCGTCATAGATTTGTTTCATACTAGTTAAAAAATTCTAAATTAAAAAATGAATAACAAGAAAGGACCACAGAAGAGCCATCAGGATTTAATGACTACGAGGGAAGATTGACAAGAAAAACATCCAATAATACAAATATGATGTAATATTTTTTTCTTAATAACAATTTAGTATCGACAGGGAAATAGACCTAATGAGAAACAACATAATAATAATAAAAAGTGTAATAAACAAGATGCAATAATGAGAGGTGTCATATTAAGGAGAAGATTAGCTCAGAATGAGGAAAGATATTGGCATTTCAAGAGAGCTTGCTTTTATTAATCATAGATGATGACCGCTATCTGAAGCAAGATGCCACAAATTAATCATAATCCATTATAAGGTTGTGAGGTTTTGTATTCATTCTTAAATTATTACTTTTTTTTCCTGACATAACTAATATCTTAAATTTGATGAATAGGTTTCATCTTCACCCCAAATGCCTGTTTTTGTTTATCTGCTGGCTCACTGGTCATAGGGTATATGAAAAAAAAGCATATATACTGACACACACACTTAAAACACACACAGTCGCAGCAGCTGCTGTCTGGAGAGCTGCAGCTCATTACCATGGTACCTGAGGCTTAAAGCAGAACTAGGGGTTTCCCTGCGAGAGAGTGAGGGTGAGCTATGGCTCCGAAAACATCCAACCAAGCTTTTACAGCTCTGCTTTCACATGATCAAGGTTTCAGCAAGAGTGTTATTTTCCTCCTTTCTTATTTAGTTCATTGAACACAGCGATGGCGCACCACAAATTCAATTAAGTCTAAGAGAAAATTGCAGATTTCCAGATGAAAAACAAGTCTTCTCCTGCACAAACAGTGTTTACTACTAACTAGCCCATGACAGATGGATAAAAAGCTATGAGGAGATTAGGCAAACAAGCTCTTGAGAGGGGGGGGACCAGCAGATGGATCTTCTTCCCACACGAAGTAAAGTGTGGTGAGCTCTCTGGGAAATTGAAACGACAGAAGGTGAATGGACTTGGAATTAAACTCTAAATGTTGATAACACACGACAGGCATCACTCTATGGAGACACCAGGCGACAACAAAGACACAGGTGTGCAAGCAGACTGGCGAATCTCATAAACACATCAGTCGGTGTCTTTCTCCAGACGAACGCTCGCATCCCGGGGCTGCTGAGCTGTGAGGAAAAGTGCAGTCTGACATCCATTCACAGTTGGGTGTTTAATTCTTCTACTTCTGACACAGAAAGTACAGCAAGTTTTGAGCATATGGTCTCCACGGAAGTGAGGTCACTGACAAAACTGCTTCGACTGATGAGATAAAGGAATGATGCATGAACCTGCCAGATGTAGCAAAAACCAGAGCTGTACTTTCTCCACTGCAACCTTCCCTCCTCCCTCCCTCCCTCTCTCTCTCTCTCTCTCTCTCTCTCTCCATTTGCTCCCTCCCCCTCTTGCTTAATCTCTCTCCCTCTCTCTCTCTCTCTCTCTCTCTGTACACACACACACTCAGATGCACACACGCAGGAAAAGAGGAGAAAGCCAGAGAGGAGAACTGCGGTGGCACGATGGGGATATTCTGCCTGCGTGGGCTCTGTCGCTGAGGCGTCCGGAGTTCAGCCACTGTATGTGTGTGTGTGTGTCTGTGTGTGTGTGAGAGCGTGTGTGTATGCATGTGTGAGTGAGTGAGAGACCCTGCCAACACCGTGCGGAGAAAGGAAAGGGGAACAGAGGAGAGCGGGTGGAGAGGAGGAAAAGAGAGGGGGAGTGTTGACTCTGACTGGGGCTGAGGAACCTCACGCCACTGGATCAGAGGACGCCGATGTGCAACAACTACTCCAACTACTGCTGCTGCTGCTCTGCCTGTGTGCCGCTGCCTGCCTGTCCTCTTAACTTCTGCCATGGCATAGCCTCCTCTTCCAGCTCGCCTCTAATCCACCAAGGAAACGGGCATGCATGGGCACAACCAGGGATCTAGGCTATCGCATCCTTTACGTCAGTAATTCACAGTCTGAGGTGAGTCGCTCTCCTCTGCTCTTGTCCTCTCCTCTATTTCACCTCTCGGTCTGCAACTGCAAAGGGGGGAAAGTCAGTTCAAATAACCTCTGGAGGGGGAAATCCGAGGGATCTGCTCGCTCTGTGGGACTGAGCCTGGGATAAGCCACAGGGAATGTTTTCACTGAAGATTTTCCCATTTAGTTGGCTGATCAAATATCAAATACGTGTGGCAGATGAAAGGAGGTAAATCTCAGATTGATTTAATGCTTAGTTGCCTCTGCTGGGTGAAGTGGTTATGGGAGATATCAGGCAGCTGCTGGAGAATGTACTGGTGCTGAGTTTAAGAGGTGATTCAGTCAGTTTAGAAAACTTTAAACATGACAAATGTATATATGTCAGGTAAATATGAGTCGGAGAAAACTCACTGCCACTGCTAGCTGACATTTATCAGATCTGGCAGGTCAGTTTTTCTGTTTCCAAGAGCATTTTGATCCAGATTTAACCTGACTGCCTTCGCACACATAGCTAAAACAGTGCTTGCGTACAAGGGCTTGCATGATGCTGCATTTCCTCTCAGTTTTGCAGATGAGTGAGAGTTACGTAAAATACACTGATATTTAAACCAAAAGAAAAATTGCAGAATTGTTGCATGAAGCTTTTGTCCCATATATGGAGGCAGCAGTGTTTTGAAGGCAGGTAGCTTGCAACACAGAGGAATAGGTAATGAGAGCTGGGCATCAGACAGTAGGCTGCATCTGATGAAGGACCTAAACTAAAGACTAATCTAGATTAATAGACTGGGTGAAGTCAACATCTCCTCACAGATTATTAGAGCGTGTATGTGTATGTGTGTAGATGTGTGTGGGGGAGAGAGAGAATGAAAGAGGATGAGAGAGAGAGAGAGAGAGAGAGAGAGAGAGAGAGAGAGAGAGAGAGAGAGAGAGAGAGAGAGAGAGAATGGGTTGCCTAGAACCCTCACATCTCCACTGTCCTTCTGTTACCACACAAAACGCTTGTCACTCCCACTCTTCCCCACAAACCCCTTCTGCCATCACTCTCAGTCTCCCCTTCAACCCTATCTCACATCAACGTTCTGATACAATCTCCCCTCTGCTCTATTTCACTTTCCACAGACACTTGGGGGGACTGAGAGAAACAGATGAAGATAGATCAAGAGAGGGAAAGGGATATAGAGCAAAGAGAAAAGGGTTTGTCTTTGAGAAATAATAAAGAGTATGATTTATTTATTTTTTTTACAATTGAAGGGTATTATGTGCTGGCACTGAAGAGTGACATGAAAAGTACATACCTGCTGCCACAGCCTAATTTATGTAATGTAAATACAATTATACAAAATTACAGGGTAGGGATGAAAGTAGGATGTCGCTCAAGATAAAAGAAATTACAAGTTCCCCCTTCATCCGTCAGTGACTGTCTTCCTTCAACCTTCGTGCCGCCTCTGTGAGAACTGGGCACGGCCATCCAGGAGTGATGGGCGTGATGGCCCACCGCTTCAAAGCTAATCTTTATTTTTAGGAATCCGTGATATCACTAATGCTCTAGAGAGGAAAGAGACGGACCGTCCTGGCACGTATGCACGCACAAGAAAGGAGTGCACACGACACTCATGCGCATGTTCACCCCAAATGCAGAGGTACATTAAGATGAAAAGGTAGACCCAAGCTACAACAAAGCTTTTTCAAACTGGCAGGGTAATAGCGTTAGCCTGCAAGAGAAGCATTTTTGGGAACTTTTGTTTTTCTAGACGCTTGCCTCCCCAAAAACCAAACAAATATGGCAGAGAGCGTGAGGATGGGAAGGGAGGGGGGGGGAAGGAGCGAGGGAGAGTGCAGGGTTTCCAAACGAGTGGTGAAGTGGGCATTCGCCTCCTATGGCCCTGCTCGCTGGGAGGGATACTCATTCACCCAGGAAACAAATTGCTCTCCTATAAAAGAATGACTGCTTTTGGAACGAGCCAGATGTTACCTTTCATGTGCTAATAGGATTATTCATTAAGAGTCAGATTTTTTTTCCCCCTGGGAGCGTCACAGCAACGCCACGCAGTTGAGGTGAATCGTGTGTGTCTGTTGTTGAAGAGGAGGCAGCATGCGTGTGTGTGTGTGTGTGTGTGTGTTTGTGTGCGTGAGAGACTTCTCACGTCTGTTGCATACAGAAGGAGAGGCTTTGCACCTGATCCCACCTGGGTGTTGTTGTCAGTGTGCGCTGGTGTATGTGTGTGTAACGCATGTTTTCCCCACTGCTTTGCAGTAGGGGCCTAGTCAGCTGGGGCTCCGACAGGCCCAGAGGCAGAGGAACAAGAGATAGGAGTTTTATGTGGTAAAGAGGCAAAAACTAGAATCCTTATACCTACATCTCCATTGTTTTATTACTTTTAGCTCTGCAACTAACAATTGTTTTGATTAAAATTCATCTGTTTGTTTCTTCAAATCAGTTTTGTCTATAAAAAAAAATAAAAAATGCCCAACACAATTTCCCAGAGCCCAAGGCAACCTGTATAAATTGCTTGTTTTGTTCCCGAACAACAGTCCAAACACCACAGACATTCAATTTCCAGTTACATACCAGAGATACAATTTACAAACAAGTGTTTTGCACTTTTGCTTTGCAACTGTAAAAAGGAATTTATCGATTATCAAAAGTGTCTCAATAAGTTTCTGTGGATCAATTTATAGTTTCAGCACTAATTATTTGTGACTACATTGTGACTATTTCTTTTTCCTATTTCTAAAATCACTGATCTCAGGACGTGGATGTCAGGGTTAGCCATCACGTGAATTTGAACCATTAAAGGTGGCCTGTGCATTTTCTGTGTAAAGAGACAAAAGTTATGTTTACATTAAGCATCTCTGACTAAACCACACTGTGGCATCCTTGAGGTCTAACAAGTATGTTGAATACATTTCCTTCTAATAACACATTTGAAAATCAGATTTTTTAGGTATTTACTAGCTTGCAGTCTTCTTCTTCCCTGCCTTTGCTGGCGCATTGCAGCATATTTTGGCGTGTCAACGCCACCTGTAGATCAGTGGAACAGTATGACACCATTGTCAGGGATGTATATATATTGCATCACCCACTCGTGTGGATTTTCATACACGTGCACAAGACAAACAAAACAAGGACCCTCTCTAAAAAAAAGAGCTCCGTTGCGCTACTAGAGGTTCAAAACCCCACAGGGAACCTTTAACTCTGTGCTCCCTGGTGTGCTCAGAAAAATGAGCACGCATGCAAACGTGAGATGAAACATTTGACGGGGTGAGTTGCTGAGAGATCAGCTTAATAGTTTTTCTGTGTATCCTGCAAACAGTCACTCGAGATGCTCAGTCACATAAAATTCTGCTGGGATGGAGTGTTAGCTAAAAGACTAACTGGACCTTGACATGTCCATGTTCTGTGGAGAGCCCTGGACACTAAGAAGGTCTTAACAAAACAGCTGAAAATTACAGGGGGTTTTTTGTTGATTGCAAAGTGGCTTCATACAACCGCTCCCTCCACAACATGGGGCTTCCATGAGGGTCAATTGAGCTGAAAAAAATGATACTACTATCTTATCGACAAGAAAGGATGGCGTTTACCGCCTCTTTCTCCCGGGTCTCTGCCTATTCTTGTTCATGGATCCTTCTCCATGGCTTCATCTTCCCTCTTCATCACTACCAGTCTATTATTTCCTCATATTCAATTCTGCTCCAACCAAGCACAGTGAAACTCTACGTCCTTTCACCCTGCACCTGTTTATTCCAGTCTTTTCCTCTTCTTTTCCATCCAAGCGTGTGGTTGTGTGTATGTTTTTTTTCTTTGCTAGGGATGACTAGGAGGAATCTGAGAGCAGCAGGGGAGTTCTCTAGTTACCCATCAGCTTTGAAACCTCAGCGTGTCTAGAAGGCAAAGAGAGAGAACGCAACAAAAGGGGAAGAGAGCAAGGGAACAAAAAAATAAAACAAAGAGAGATATAATGTTCTTTAGATAGATGAAGAGGAGAGGAAAGAAGAGAGTGATCTGATGCATTCTGATTAGCGCAGGCAGCCTCTGCAGCATACATCCTTTCCTGAGGTCTGATCCCCATCTAGCCTGTATGTTCACTGACGTATGGATTACAGGCATCCTGTGAATTCATCAGGCTCCCAAGAACCCACCTGGGTGCATGCGTAGCACACAAAGCAAAGTAACTACAGCAAGTAAGGAAATAAGAAAAAAAACAAGTACAATTCAGTGGGGACAAAGTGAGTAAAAGTAATAAGGCTACAATGTCTGTAGGCTACAGTCCAAGGATAAGAGATCCTCCATGAAAACAGCAGAAAAATGGCATATAGTACACAGTTGTTTCATGAGTTCTTTCAATAGGAATTTTTAGAATCATTCACACTACTACTGAGACTGCAGTATCTCTCTCACACACTGCTTGTGAGCTTCAAGGGGACAACTGGAAGCAATGTAAAAAAATAATATAAATATGAAATATACATGTGAAAATATATGTAATGCACACATGGCTTTTGAATAAATGCTGTACATATGGTAGAAACTTAACATAAAAGGTGCTGCGGATTAACAGCAAAAATGGATTCATCCTGTCACAGTATCAGAGACTTCTGACACCAAAAGAAACACTCCTGATGCAAATGTTCACAAATACCATGATACCATATTAAACCATAACGTAAATGGAACAGTAACACCTAAAACTATTTTGCATTATTCCTGTAAGCCAAATAATTTGACCCCATCTGGGAGGTTTGTCGACCAGCTTAGGAAGATCTGGTTTATCAGATCTGAAAATAGGACATATTTATTATACAGAACCTTTTGACACTGTACAGAACTCTAGTGTTTCAAACGGTTGCTGTAGAATCACAGTGATATTAAAATTTATCCAGGATGTAAAAGTGATTGTAAAACATGTTGCCTCAGTTTTCAATTAACTTTATACTTCACTCTCAACAAAAACACAAAAAATATGTTCCTGGTGTTATTTAGTCATTACTGCATCACTACATGATGTTTCTGAGAAAAATCTTTCAAATGGTGCTTGGCAACAGCGCAGTGGTCCATGATGACTGAGCAACAATTACTAGAAAGACAATCCCTTAAAATCCTGTGATTTCCAGTGCTCTTCCATCTCACGGCATTAAGCTACCATTAACTGACAAAGGATTTGCTGCGTTTGGTGTCGGCCTAATGCACTCTACTGACGTTATCCCTCAACACTGACCTGTACAGTCAATCATTCAGTTATATATACCCTCACATGACACCCTGAGAGCATGGGTGCACCCAAGCTAACTCACATGCTGCAGCACAGAGACACACAGAAAGTAAAAATCAGTGAACACACAATGTCAGATGACCTTACCAACATGATCTGAAGTAAATTACGAGCCTGCATATCATTTTAGTGCATAATCAGTGTGCTCTTAAGAGACAGATCCAAGACATTTCAAAACACTACTAAGCCCCATGTAATTATGAGAAGTTGACAGGAGAGAGAAGAGAAAAACAAAACATGAGTAGATAAAGCTGGATTACAGTAGAGGTTGGAACCACCATGATGATACTGCCACACTCTTTTGTTCAAGCAGCGTCTGAGACCATGCTAAGCTGTTATAATGTAAAATTCCAGTGATAGGAGAGCAAGAATTTTTCTGTGGATCGTGTAGCACAAGGGCAGACTTCAAGCTCACTTTGTCTTGAATTTAAAAATGCAGTGCTGGCTGCATATATTTCCCTGTGATTTTGATTCAGTTAAAACTCAGTTGAGCCATTGTTGGGAAGTTTGAGATGGTGAGGAATTTAAAATATCAGAGGGTATATACACTTAACTGTCAGAAAGTACTGCAAAACATTAGCAGTAAGATATTGTTCAACATCTCATTCCAAAACATGGCCTTAATATGTTACTATAATAGCGTCCACTATTATGGGACGGCTTTGCACAAATTGTTGGAACTTGGCTGCAGGGATTTGTTCCCATTCAGCCACAAGAGCATTATTGAGGTTGACCACTGATTTTGGGTGGTAAGGCTCACAGTCAGAGTTCCAGTTCATCCCAAAGGTGTTGGATGGGGTTGAGGTCAGGGCTCTCTGCGGGCAAGTCAAGTTCACACTAAACTCAGAAAGATATAACTTTATGCATGGGGCACTATTATGTTGAAACAGGAAAGGGCTTTATCCAAACCTCAAAATAGCTTGCTACTAATTTGTTCTCAGATGCCTATCAAACAGCTAAAACATACACGTTTTGCATAAATTGGAAGAAGATTTAAGTAATGTAAAAGAAATAAAGAGATAATAGAAAAGCTCAATGAAACACCCTGTTAAATACTTAAACAAGAAAGGCTGTTTAGGCAGCTGTTGCTAATTGACATGTACGGCATATTTCCAGCGTTTAATCAATTCACTGGTTTTGTGATGCATACTATATTAATGAATTTTCCCTTCGGTGAAGCAGAAGCGATAAAACAAAATTAGTCAGGCTCAAAGTTACGGTAAACATTCAATCCCCAGGTTTAATCAGGACACTGAAATTTCCACCTTTTAAGATTTTACCCCCGGCAACCAAAAGTTCAATTAGGCAACTGCCACTCACAAAACTGCTGACTCACATGCAGTTTAAAATAATGCAAGTAATGGGGACCCATTTTTAAATGCAAGGTGTGTTGCATTAAATGAGCATGTGCTCTGAGCATAAAGACCATTTCCATTAAAGAATAATGAATTGCATTACCGCAGTAATCTGAATTGTCCTTGCATCACTCCAAAGCTTCAAAGAATGGCTGAATTAGCAGAGAAAATGCTCCCAAGAATCTGGTGTGCGAAACAGACTTTCATCATGGACGAAATGCACTCTGGTCCGTAGAAAAACACAAATAATGACCCACAATGCCAGTATGACAGCCATGTGAGCTGTGCTGCTAAAACAAGGTCAGATGTGATCAAGTCTGATTTTGCCATGCGTACATGACCCTATGAGGTCTGTTTTGGTCCGTCCTACTGGGTAGAAAATAGTGGGTCAGTTCACTTCACTTGCCCCGAAATAAAAAAAAGGATCAGGGCCACCCTAAAAAGGGGCAGTTGTCACAGCCCTGCATGATGAATCATGCTGTTTATGCAAGAGGCCGGGGGGTGGTGTTGCAGCCGGAGGTGAGATACGAGTGCTGCTACAGTTGCCCGGGCCTGAACCCAATGGGTAACAAATCAGATATGTGGAGCCAGGGACACATCATTCAGCCTGCAGTGCTGACATGTCAAAAAGGATCAAATTTAAATGAGGATGTGATACAATACCATGAAACGGTAGGCATTGTGCAGTGTGTGTGTAGGGAAGGGAGAGTAACAAGTAATGAGAAAACACTATTGCTGTTTGTGCTGACAAACTATATTTGTCTCAATATCTGGTGGTTTGAGAGAGGCTGGCAATCTTAAATTATAATCAGATATAATTTTGCACATATTGAATATAATGTTGAATTTGGGCCTAGTTTATAAAATAGACATATTCACTGACCTAATTTGGAGAGGGGATGTAGGGTAACAGTTTAATCTCTTTTTCAAAATGTCATCCTTTGGACAAACATGCAGAGGACACTGACAGGGATGGACCAGGAGAGCACAGCCATGCTGGTGAATACATAATAGTCTAGGAATAAACGTCACATGGTCAAACAATCACAAGGAGGGATAAAAATTAGACTCTTTCAGTCTCTGCACCGCCATGGTAATAATTGGAAAATTAATGTATTGGATTTTGCTACATGCAGCCTTGATTCTACCCCTTTACATCATTGTACTTCCAACTGCTTTCACAGCTCAATCAACCTAATGCCAAGGGGGTCAGGAGTCATTAAATGATTATATGCATACAGTACAAAGGTGGAGATCTTTATAGTAACACTCTTCTGTGTTTTCACTGATAACTACACTGTGTGCTTTTTTAAATTCACTTGGCCTTTATGTGTGCATAATTGCAGTGACTGGGACTGACTTGAGAACTTTGGGTTTTATTTTGTCCACTTTTCACACAGTGTATTATGCTAGATAATAATATATTTTGTATGGGTGGGACAAAGTAAAAATCAATATTGAGATTTTTCCTTTCATGTTATGTTATTGATACGCTAATACTGTGTAGTGTACAACAAATTGCAGAATATCTTTCCTTATGTCTCCTGTATTGGGCTTATAGACAGTTTCCACAAAAATTGCATTGCACTATACATTAGTAATTACCTGTCTGTTGAGAATAAAACTAACATCTGCGTGCACAGCAGAAAGCTGCCATGTCTAACGTGTCTATATGGGCATGCTGTTCTGTACTCGAACAGTATTTTCAGTGACACTGCTGAACCATGTTTGGACAGTTTCAGGGGAAGACTGTCAATCTGTAACATGTAAGGGCGTTTTAAGGTTTTCTTTTATAAAAAAAAAAAAACTTCAGAGTGGACATGGCAGTACTCTGAAAATCAGGTATAATGTACCAAGCAAAGATATTATTCACAGCAAAACTGTCTTGATTTCTCATGTTCAGTGTAGGAAATAGGAGCTCTCCAATTTTGGAGAACTTACCTAAGAACACTTTGGCAATGTGTCAGCTTTTATTCATATTCATGCCGAGAAAACGTGACTATGTCCTTGGTAGGCAGATTGCCAGAGCATCTTTTACAGAAAATTACTAAATGCAAACATGTGCAGATGATACTGCTTGTCTACAAGGTCTTATTTAAGTATTTAGATGAGATTGTTAGATGTTAGATGAGATAGACAAAGATAGTTGGCTGGCTGTCTCCAAACAGAGCCAGAGACTCAGATGATAATTTAATAATACCAAGCCAGAGAAATAATGTGATGCAGAAGACAGTGAGACAAAATGTCCATTCTATAGCTACCAGGTAAGTAAACAGACAGGTTTGAAATAGGGATTCATTCCCTGTTGACAGAGAGAAGTCATGTCCGATAAGCTGATAGGGATAATTGTCCTGATCTGATTTCGCATCTATATGAGCATGTGGAGTGTTTGCTTATTGTAAATCAACAGGCAGAAAGAGAATTATATTTGTGTCAGAGCATCAGAGGCAAACTGCAGAGTTGTGATATTATCTTTCCCCACAACCACAGGTATGGTAGCAGGGAAAGATAATTTCTATTATCTCTGCTTATGATGTTTCTCCTTAGGGGGTTGTTGTATAGTTATCAGACAAAAGTTTGTCTGTTTAGAGGAATTTTGAAGCATTGTTCGCTTGTCTTGGTTAATCTGGAAAATGAATAGACGCCATACTCACATATGCTAGAACAGTACAAACATGCCAAATAGGCCAAAAATCTAATTTTTACTTCATTATTAACTGTGAGAGGGAATGGTCAGACAGCAAAGGGACCTGCTGAACGCAGTGAACTATGGAAATAGACTGCAGACCTCATGTATAGTGTTCAGAATAGTCAATAGTATATTGCGGCTTGTATTTCAGTGTAAGAGGGTGTGATTGTAAGTGCAGTGTAAGATTTTTCCAGTAAATAAAAAAGAAAAGAAAATGAAAGGTTTTCTTTGAAGGGTAGATATACTATGAATGCATATGAAAACTTGAGACCTGCATGACGTCAACACACCTTCAATGCATCACTATATTCAATGTCAACTTAAATTATTCCTGTTAAAAATGACATAAAATATCTGAAAAATAATCCAATTTAAAGTTTGTATTTGCTATGTTTTTTGGCAGGTACAATGACTGTGTCTGATAAAAGCAATTTTAAATAATATTCATTAAATAATTGCGCAGGTTCCTCCCTTCTCCCTAAGCTTAGATAGTGTGTGTTCTGTCAAGTGGAATGTAATAGTGAGGCAACGGTCTTTGTCTAAGACATTCATTACTGATTATTAACACAGCGTCTTTCTCCATACCTCTCAGGAAACATGGTGAGCAAGGAGGGTGGCAAATGCATGCTCACCAACTCAGAGTCTGACTCGGAGGCGGCGCCCTTGCCCTCCACCTCGTTGGCACTGGGGGTGAAGTATTCCCTGGAAGCCAGTCGACAGGTGAGGAAGAGAAACAAGGCCCTGCAAGTGCGTTTCAAGGATATCTGCGAGGCACAGAACGAGCAAAGGGAGGCAGAGTTGCAGGCAGCGGGGAAAGGTGGCAAGCCGATCTCATACAAAGTGGCATACCGCAAGTACATGACCGTCCCTGCCCGCAGATCCATTCCAAACGTCACGAGGAGCACAGGCGTGCAGACGTCCCCTGACCTGAAAAAACGTTATCAGACCTTTCCCTTTGAGCGCAAGAAAGGCCACACCTTTAAACACGTGGCGGCCGTGGAAACTTATAAAGGTCAGAATAACGGTTTTGTCATGGAGGTGAAGCAGTCCAAGGCTGCTGAGCAGGGTTTAGATGAGGAGGAGGAGGGAGCCTGTGGGGGGAGTGGAGTCCGGAGGACCAGGGCTCTGCTCCATACTAATGAGTGCATTGCCACAGTGGAGCAGCACACTGCACCTGATGGCCTGTGCTCTGACGCTCTGCTGCTCAGTTGCTCTGCAGACACAGACTGCCCTGCAGACACACAGAGAGGAAGCGGAGCCGGAGCACAGGCAGAGTACCAACTCTGCAGTGTCCCATCCAAAGCCAGGACAGGATTACAACACAGGGAGGCTGATACAGACCGCTCGACCAAGAGGCAGCTTCTCAATCTGGAGGAGGGCTCGTCCCGAACCCTGCCGGACAGGGCCTCCAAGGTTACAGGCCCCATCGCCTGGAACTCCCTTACGCAGGTGGAGTGCTTGGAAAGTCCATCTGTGCGGAGCAAGCGGAAGAAAGCCCTGCAGCTCAACGGGCTGCAGAGTGAGACGCTACCACGTTCCAGTAGAGGCTGTACAACACAGGCACAGTGCCACACAGGACAGTTATCTGCCCGGCCTCTACGGGGCATGGAGGAGCCTCTGTCACCCTGCATAGGTGGTGAGGCTGGTGGGGCTCCACCCGACCAAACACAGGAGGCCTGTAAGCAAATAGTGCCTATGAATCAGGACGGGGATGTTAAAGCACAGCTCCAGGCCATGGAAAATCTCATCAGCTCCAGCCAAGAGACCATCAAGGTGCTGCTAGGTGTCATCCAGGAACTGGAGAAGGGCGAGGCCCACAGAGAAGGGTAAGACATCTCACTTATTGCCTGTGCTTTACAGTAGAGATGCCCCAAATTCAACTTTCCTTTCCCAATATTTCCCATACATACTCAGGGTACCCGCCAACAGACAGTATCAATCTGATATAAGTGCTCTCTTTTTCCAAAATCTAAAATCTGTGCAGCTCACTGCATGAAACTATTTTAAACTGATAGCAAAAACACAGAATTTTATAAAAATTAATAAAAACTGGATTGGTCACATCCTGACTGATAACTTATCTGTTTAATAAGGTCTTCATAAGGAGTCCCTGTTTTACACTGGTGGCATTCTTTTGCAAGTTGTCCCAAAAAAAAAATTCAGGAAAGGGCCTGGTTACTTAGGTACTGCCAAGGAAACATCAGAGACACAGAGCACATTCATGATTCAGCATGAACAGAAAAAGTACCCTCTTGATGTGTCACATTATTTCCAGATCTTAGGGCGAAGCTTGTATGTGTGACAGCTGTTCAGCAGAGCCCTAACTGAACCACCCAAAGGGGGTCGAAAAAGAGATCTCAGTGGCATGTAGTTGGGATGATGTGGCTTTCACCTGATGTACCCTGCAGCGCTATTATAGTACAATGTCCTTTTGGGATGATTTCCCTCTGGATATGACTACAGAACTTATTTAGAGACAAATCATCTCACTCAATTTGGCCCAAGAGGTTTGACGACCCATTGTATGAAATACTGACACTATGAATGTGGCCTTTACCCAAACCAAAACTAGGGAATGGCAGACAATTCTCGCTATTTTTGAATGGAACTGATTCAGCCACTGAAAATATAACCATGTGTGTGAGATCAGTATTAGCTGTAATGCAGCGTTTGTCAGCCAGTAGTTTCCTAAGGAATGAATTTAGATTAAAAATTGAGAATTAAAAATTCTGTCTGAATGTTAGTTATCATGATGCTGAAAAAATTCTAATGTGGAAATCAAATAATGGAGAAACGAAGGAAAACACAAAAGTAGACGTTTAATAATTGGCCTTACCAAGCTGTACGCCATCTATTTATCTAGTAAGTTCAAGGCTTTTGAAAAGGCCATGGCCTGTGAAAAAGCCATTTACTGTCCAATAGATACTGAGTATATACAAAAGGACTGCAGATAGCATCTAGCCAGCTGAAATAGAGGATTGTCTATCCAAAGGGATGAGGCAAACAAAATGGCCAATTTGCTGAGTGAATTGCTAGGGCTCGACACTCAGATCCCTATCTGTTTTGACCAACACTGGAGAGGTACGAAGTGAGAAAATCCATATAATCAACATCATACCAACCTGGAGTCCAAAACCTGCGGGAATTTCTCATACACACACACACACACACACACACACACACACACACACACACACACACACACAAAAAAAAAAAAAAAAACACACACACACCTGTCAAGCTTATAAACAAGGAGCACACAACCACAAATGCTTCAAAGTGTATGAAAGCAACGCTCAATATCACCTTGACTGAACGATGGTAAAAGTTCTATTCAACAGCAACAGTTTAAGTTTACACCATCTAAAAAGACAATTATCCTCCTTCAATCTTGCACAAGGCAGCCATAATCTCCTTATCACCAAACTCATAAAACTGTGCTGTGAGTGGAAAAGTAAGCGGACATGTGGTGCAGCATGGGGAGCAATCTCCTCTGTGTTGCCAAACACATCTGGCTTATCAGATGTGTCTAAAGTGGCAGGTGGGAGAGGAGAAAACAGGAGGGGCTTAATTTGTAAAAGAAAATTAGTGACTTCTGTTTAATGGTGCCATCTGGTCCCATACATAAAGAAACAATCACATTGTGTTTCAATGTTTTAATTACAACAGCCTACATTTAGTTAAAGTCAGTGAGCAGTATAAGCTTCTTGTAATCCATCTTAGCCCAACTGAACCACTACTTTTCTATTCAAACACAGATGTCGTCTTCCTGCCTGTACATATTTTCCATTTCCAAAGTTGCATTTTTAGCGAGCCAAGCAAAAATTCTAATGCTGCTTTAGTCACACTATATTAGCTTCATACTCCCATTAAATAAATGTCACTGACACAACAAATAGGAGTGCCCACAGGCTATAGGTGTGGTGTGTGTGTGTGTGTGTGTGTGTGTGTGTGTGTGTGTGTGTGTGTGTGTGTGTGTGTGTGTGTGCTGTGAGTGCAATTACATATGATATATAACTGCTTATGTTATATGACATTCATTTTTCATGGAAGGAAATGCACCGCTGGATGCATTCATCACTATGCATGTGTTTATGACATGCTGCTCACACACAGATTGAAATTCAATGGCTAATATGCTGAGACTAATAAAAACACACACACACACACACACACACACACACACAAAAAAAAAATGAAAACTGAAATGTAAACATTTTAAAAAGCTTTGGCACTCTTCACTCTTGATGAAAATCTTTTGAAAAAACAAACTGCAGAACCAAAAGTCAAAAAGCCATTTCAACTAGAAAGTGGCCATAGTATTGACCCTCAAATATTTAAACTTTTATTTCTCCACCATTCCCCCAATTTGTGTGATTTCAGGAGGAGACAACAAATGTATGGAATGGAAAAAGAGGGCCAAAGAGAAGGAGAAGAAAGTTGCAAAGCGGGAGGACCCACATGTCCCTTGAAGTAATTTTTACCACTTTAAATTCCCATTTCAAGTTTTTCAATGATAACCTTAATGTTCCTCAACACAGAAACCATGAAACCTATGGTGTAAAAAAAGGCTGAGGTCAAAGCTGTAGCAAATTCATACTGCTTTATGGTTGTTAACCATAACACCATGTTTGCTGAATTCATGTAAAATTGAGCCAGAATCCAAAAGCAACCCTTTTTTACCTGGTGAATCTGTGATTGGATGTTTCTAACCAAAGTGATTCATTGCATTCATTGTTGACTTCTGTCTTGAGTGTTCGTGTACAAAGGCTTGTACCTTGACTGTTTTATCAGAGATACAGATATTACTCATATTTTGTACTGATTATTCAACCAGGACGGTTTTCTGCAAATCCAAGAATTGGAAGTGCCTCAAATGCATGTCACCTACCACTGTCTATGCATAAAATCCAAATCCAAACATCCAAAGCAACTTCTCCCACTTTGCCACTTGACGAGAAGCATGTGAAAGAAAGTGAGTGAGAGCAACCAGGAAGGGCGATACATCTCCTTTTGTTATTGTATTATTAGACCGTTCCAGATTATATGAGTAGCTCTTACCAAGCTACTAGTAAAAGAAAAATAGAGCAACTAGCCTTATGACCCCACACAACATGCATGCAAGCACCCACATATATCCCTTAAGTGCAACCCTGCCCGGGGTATACAACACAGTGTGAAGGGTGCTATGTAGTCCTAGAGTATATCATTGGTTGCATCCAACAATACAAAGCTTGGGAATAAATTTGCTGCATCATCAGCCTGTGCTGGCAGTCCCGACCCAATTAATCACACTCATGGGGAAGTGTTGTCTATTAACACTGTGTATGTGTCCATGTTTTATGCCTTGGACTCCCACCCACTCAGTGACCTTTGGGAGAGCTCACCTAGTAGCACAAAGGGGGCAGGGTGTATAAATATACTGTTAATGGCACTTTTGGCATCGCTCTCCCCAGGGAGGCTTGCCGAAATGAGCTCTGCTCTCTTATTTTCTCTTATCAACTCAGTGTGAGAGAGGGGTGGGGTGGGGATGAGAGATTGAGGGAGAAAGAGATCCAGACAGCATGAGGGCGAGAGATAGAGAGACAAAGGGTGAGTTGCTCAAAGGACGCGATCCAGTTGCCCGTGCACTCCATTGGCTGCCTATCGATTGGCTCCTTTGGGCCGAAAGTGAAGACGGCCTTGAACTTCTCCACTGCATTGCCCTGTCACCACCTCTCCAATGGCAAACCCCTTAATTACAATTACTCCAAGCCGTAAACTTCAAGTAAGCTTGCCCATATCGTCTCAGACTCTCCCCATTACCTCATTCTGCGACAGCCTTAAATAACAATATTGATATCAACACCTCTAATATACCTGTCAGAGCATATAGCACAGAAAGGAGTAGATAAGGAGGGGAAATTTATGATAGCGGTTTAATTTTTATGGGTGCCGCACCTTATGGGCAGTGTGACAAGAGTCCCTGAGAGAGATTTGAAAAATGTCTCTGCTACTGCAAAGATGAGAATGGAAATAAATGTGAAAGTTAACCTCAATTAGGAGACAAATCCAGTGGCTTTTGCAGTAATGGTCATCTGAGAAACACCGACTTGAAGTGACACCGAAGTGATTGTTTGTTAAAGGATTGGTTTACCCAAGTTACAAAACAGTCAAGTTTTTTCAGCTTCTGAAGGGGTGGAGGTAAGCCAGAAAAGTTTGGGAACCACTGCAGTGGAAAACCCACAGACCTCACAGTGTTTTTCTGTTTCAGTAACAAGGACATTGTTTCTGGAAAGACGCATTGCCATTAATTTATTTAAACGTAATTTAATGTAGCCTCAGTATAATGCAGCAGAGGCAGAAAGGCAGAAATCTCAAAAGCAAAAGGCACAAATCTTAAAAGCCGATATCTTAAAACTTGCAAATAAAACCAATAATATTTCTACAGCAGGGCACCACAGGCAAGCAACTGTGTGTAATTTGGGTGAATTGACCTTTTAACAGAGTGTGCTTTTCACTGTGATGAAGTAAGTTCCACATATTTCATTCCAATGTGACACTCAAGACAACAGTAAATTGATCCTGGTAGGACAAAGTAAAAAGGCAAAGGCTTTTGACACCTACAGATGCTTCCATCAAACTAAAAACTGCTTTAAGTAGGACGGTGGTTGTACTTGCTATTAGCTATTATGTGTGACACCATTTAACCTGATATCTTTACTGGATTTACAAGAGTCTTTTCTGTTGATGCAGCAGTGCAGGTCATAACCATAAAAACCAACCAGCAGAGGACTTCCCTTTTGTCCATGTCATTGGTAAAGTGAGTCCATAGAGGATCCCCATGTCATTAATTAAAAGAAGAAACCCTTGCTGTCAATCAATATGCACATTTCCACATGCTAATCTAATAAGACAGCCATTGTAAAAAAAAAAAAAAAGAGCCATTGAGCCTTTGAAGCATGTAACCAAAGGACCATCACCTGGTCTTTAATTGCCCCGTGAGAAAAAGGTATATATGATGGAATGGTTCGTCACAATATTTTATCTCAGTGACATCTGATAATAGAACAATTTAAGGAAACGCAGGATATAATATAATAGGATATTGATGAGTTTGAATGCGAATTTGGTGAATCAATATCACAATGAAATAAAGATGGATTGAGTGTATAAAGCCAAAGGGCTGCTGTCCTAAATAAAACTGTAAAATTTTATCTGCTTAGAGGACCCATTTAATTTCCAAATGATTTTCAGTTTTTTCAGGTAGTAAAATGGTTCATAACGAAGATAACTCTCACTGTATGCTTTACTATACTATACTGTACAAAATGGATGAATCAATTGTGGGATAAAAAGTAGAGGGGGGATAAAATATATTACACTGGGCTCTTGGAAACTGTGTTAGGCATTTGTTTTACATTTTATATCAAGAAAAAAAATCGAGTCATTAATCGATAATGAATATAATCACTAGTTGTACTAATTATTTCATTGGAGCACTTGTAATGTAATTGTATGGTAATGGAACAATCCTGACACAAGTCCTCAATCAAAACTACCTTCCAATGCAGCCCAGGAACTCCTCCTGTGTACTACTTTGCCTTATCTGACCCCCAATCAGTCAACCACAGCTAATTGCCGACACCATGATCTTTGTGCACTGGCTGCCGGACACAGGCCACTCAGGAGGGCCGCATGACTCCTCATCACCCTCATTTACTTCGGTTCTGTTAACGAGGGACAACAAACAAGATGAGAAAGGAAGGTGTGAGGGAGCAGCTTAACGAGTCCTGTAATTACTCATTCACGACTCTTATCTTCCCCGCAGACTCTCCTATCGAACCGGACAGGACACGGCCAACTGTGACACATGCCGGAACAGCGCATGCATTATTTACAGGTTAGTGGCCATTCCTCTTCAAAGACATGATGATCCAAATGTGCCCTGTCCTTTCTCCTTGAGGGAAAGTGAACAGGTGGAAAAAGGACGGTGTAGAGGAAGGGAAGGGGCAAGGGATACAAGACTAATGTGGATGCTGTTAATGAGCACATAGGGACGTGTGACATTTACATAACACGCTCTCTCTCTGAATCTATGCATCTTTGTCAGCCCCTCCATTGTCTCTTCACACCCCTTCATTCACTGAAGGAGAGCATAGCGGGCATAGTGTTAGCTGGATGTAGAGACAAAAGGGCACAAGGTTGAAAAGTAAAGAGAATACATACTGCAGAATGAATGAGCACAGGGCCGCGAAAGGTGAAATGATTTACCAACAAAACATCATGAAATATCATCACTGTGTGCTGTTGCCAAGCCAATTGAGCCTCTACGCACTTTCAAGATCAGCTCAATTTATTTGACAACCAATACAGACGTGACTCCAAAGTCATTAGTCAACCACGATGCATGGTTATCTCTTTATGAAGTTGTGTGTGTATCTATGTGTCTAATACGTTTCTGCCTATAGTAGATTTCTTTGTGTGTGAATGTGTTCATGACGTCAAATGATGCTGAGAAAGGTCCATTTATCAAATAGTTGACTGGCCAAAAATTAATTTGCATACATTTTCATCAATAATTAATTGCATCAGTGGCTTATCTAGCAAAAGTGGCCAAACAATCTGGTTCCAACTTCACAAATGTGAGGAAACTGAATCCCTTTCTCTGGGTCCTTTTTTGGCTCTCAGAACTTGTGATGGGCTTTTGTCACTATTTTTTTACATTATCAAAACTAAACCAAATAACATATTAATCAAAAACAAGACTAAGGCTCTACAGCCCCACCAATGGCTTGATGTACTTGAGCACAGCGGTGCTTTGTGCTAAATTCTCACAACATCCGGCTTGTTATGACAATGCTGATGTTTAGACGTGGTCAAATGATCACCAAAATCACCAAAGAATATCTGTTGCAAATTTCAACAATCCATCCCATAGTTATAGTAAGATACTTCACTCTGAACCACAAATGTGAAACTCATGGTGACGTGAAATTAGGATGAATCCTCTGGTGACAATGAATGTCTGTATAAAATGTCACGGCAATCCATCCAATCGACATTTCTGTCCGGACTGGTCGAATGAAATTGCCATCCCTGGAGCCACATTGGTAGTGTGGCTAAAAATCCATTAATTAACCATATGACCAAAATAACCACTAGTTATAGCCCTAATGTGAAATGGTGTGGAGTCAGGTCAAAGTTCACATTTGGTGGCCCTGACCTACCAGCAGAGCCTAGCAGGTTGTGACACCTCTGTCAGGCTTGAGAACTTCCTCTTTGATACCCAATGAGACTGGCAGTTCAAGGCCTGCTCACCGATTGCATGACACAACCTGTGTGTGCGTATGTGTATGGACGATGCTGTTTTTCCGTTTGGTGCTGAGAAAAAGTATGATTCCAATAGTCAAAAAGAACAGGAGGGGAAAAAGATGAGAGAGACAAGAGATATAAAGAGTAGGAGGGTGAGAGGCGATCAATAAAACTGTTTTTAGTGGACACTGCTGCTCCACTCAGTCTGCATTTTGCCTCTGAAGAGCCATTTAAATCATTTTCCATCCACTGCTTTCAATAACTGATAAGCCACTGGCCAAACTTCAATCAGCTCCTGAAAATGAAGGAGCAGGGCACAGCTCTGTTCCCTCTGATGTTTGAGCTGAGGAAGGTGCATAGTGTCATAAAAGCGGAGTGTGTTTAAATCGAGGTAGGTCCCCCTCACAGCCGCAGGGTGGACAACAAGAATGGTCGCTTTTACAACAATTCAATGACAGCAAAATGAAGTGTGCTGAGCTGAGTTATGGCACATGATGTGAAGGATACTGGGAGAGCACAACATGGCATGAGGGAATTAAGAGGCAATGGGTTGAGTGCAGGGTTAAAGGATGGATGAAATAGGACAGACTGCTGAAATGGGTTCTCGTCTGGTATTATAAATTAGTCAGCACCATGTTTAATGCTAACTCTGTATGATATGGCCCTGGGGAAGAGAAGGCCATGCTCCCTCTGGTCCACCTATCCTCCATCTCTGCTCTGCCTGCCTGAGGAAAGACGAATCGTGCTTGCCCTGCTGTGCCAGTCACTGCGTTAGTAGCTAGGATGCCGGCGTGAAAGGATGTCTAAATTTTAAAAAATATGAGCAATTCCATTATATAATATTCTTTTTGTCATGATATTCTTGGCAGCTCGGATTGTACCTGTACTAATCAGTGGTATGTTGGGAAAGGTGTTTCATTTAAATATCACCACGACCTGAATTCCCAATGAAGGATTAAAATATGCAAAATGCAGGCTGAAATAAAAGCTATGACTTAGTGTGCCCATTTGAATATAAGCCAATTATACATACATGTCAGTGAGTTGTCCAACATATCTGTCACACATATCTCGATTTTTCTCACCTGTACTTGAAAATCACCAAGGAGAAACTGACTCAGATTTGTCCCTTGACTTGGTTGGTGGTGAACATGCACACACAATGACAACTGTCTTCAAACAGGCGCTATATTAACATCAGAACTACACATTTAGCTTCCTAGATCTGCCACAATCAATTGAAACGCTTCATCTGCGGAGGAAGTGCAGAGAAACAGAAACTCAATACCAAACAGAAGGCTTGTTTTTGACAAACCTTGCCGGCGCCTGGCAGGGTTTCAACTTGACAAAGGGCAGAAATTTCTAAGTGAGATGTTTGAAATCTGTAAAATTGATCTGAGTTCTCCTTTAAGCGACTTGCTTGGCATGGTGAATTGTGTTGATTGGACACAGAATCAAATATAGCAGTTGTATTCACACAGGCAGGAGGATTAAATGGCAATCTAATTACTTAGATCTCCATGAAAACAACCTCTCTGGAGGTGGAGGAACACAAGATAGGAAGCTGAGCCATGAAGGAGCACACACTGTACGTGGGAAGAATAGCTGTCTATAATATCTATTAGGATTTTTTTGTGAGTATATCTTTGTGTCAGGACCAAAACCCCTAACTCTTGTGTGTGTGGTAGAGCTGGTCTCATGACCAGAGTGGACATATGGGTCCATAAATAATTTTAACGCAGCCCGGTAAGGAGCCAGCCATGCACTCTTTCGCATAATCAATTTGTCCAGGAGTATATGGCATCATCTCAGAGCCCATCCTAAGCATAACAAGAGCACCAGATCAATATGGTGCTGTAGTCTATGGGCATGGACTTCAAACAGAATACACAAGCTCCTGTAGTCTCTTGTCCTTGTCTGGTCCCACTTTCCTCATTTTGAAAGATCCTGAACTCAGTCTGTCTTCCTTTTATCCTCCCTGAGTAACTTTCTCAGTATATCTCACCGTTTCTCCGGAATACGTTATCTCCTCCTAACAGCTAACAGTGTGTGTTCAAATGAACTTGGGGATTCAATGCTTAATACAATGTGCATGACATTGAAACAGAATAGGAGAGAAAGGGATGAAAAGATTATTCCAATTCATTCCATCTTGCCAGGTGATGTAATATCTGTTACTGAGAAAGGTGGGGAGGAGGGGAGGGATATAAAAAAGAAAAGAAGTCAGAGAGTAAGCATGACAGACAAACACAGAGAGAGGGGTGAAGAAAAGCCGGGGATTTGAAATGCATTCCACTTATTTCAAGTCCACAGCCATTAAGTCGGGATACGTCTTGATGCAGAAACCCTGTAATCTCATTTTCTTCACACTGCATTTATATGGGCTAATGTGCTGATCAAACAGGGAGATAGATTTAAATGGTTGTGATTAAGGAAGTAAAATTGGGGAGGTCCCAACAAATGGGTATCATTGTTCACAATGGACTGCAGTCACAATCAGTCTAATTTTGTCAATAGCTTGCAAGTCTGATGGTAAAACATTTTTTGAATAACACTGTGCAGTGCAAACAGATAATAAAACAAGTTACAAAAAATGTATGGGTATTTAAAAGTAGGAGAAAATCTCCAATCTACTGTGCGTGGCTATGAAAATCAATTAAGGCTGAAGAGCTGATTACATTATAACATATGGAAATCATTGAGCAGCCAGGCTGTCCTACTGCACGACTCTGCTGGGGGAAGATATCTCTCTTTGTGCAAGCATAATGATGTTTCCCAACATGGTGGCAAGCTGGTTACCATAGCTACAAGACGGATTCTCGGCAGGACAGACAGTGTGAGGGGACAGAGAGGACAGTCGGGAAGAGCACATTCACACCCGGGGAAGATGAGAGAACAAAAAGGAAGCCATGGTGAGAATGTGAAGCAGGGAGACATGGAGAGGATGAAGGAGACAATGAGAGATAAAGACTCACAGATGTTTAAAGTTGGGTTAAGGGCAGGTGAGGGGTGGGTATGTCAATGAATGTGTTGAGGTGAGACGTTGGGTGTTGTGTGGGGAGTAGTGGACAAGTTTCTTTTTTTATATACACTTTTTGGAGAGCAGGAGCATGACAGGAAAAGAGTGGGAGTGAGTGAGAGAGAGAGAGACAAAGAAAGAGGGGGAGAGAGGTTAAAGACTGACAAGGTCCAAAGTGCCTTCTTCAATTTGTTCCGATCCAACAACCCACTCTGGGGAGCGGCAGCTAGGGGACGGGAAAATGCCAACAACGCTTCACTTTTCGCTTTCAGCAAAAAATCAAAATGTAGAGCGACGCAGCAGGACCCGTGACAGTTTCATAAGGAGATGCTGATAACTGGGCCGGGTAGAGACTAATAAATCTTTCATTAAAAGGCCTTTTGAGTATGTTTCAAAGATGAGATGATTATCTTTTCACTCTGCTTTTTTTTTCCAAATGAAATGTGCAGATTTTTTTTATTTTCAGTGGCATTTAAGTTTTCTTGCTATGCAGTTCCCCAGCCACAGGCCACTTTACCTCACTTTGTATGATTCTGCTGGCAGATAGAGAGCTATGTTTTTGATAAGAG